AATTTGATTTCTTCATTGTTCTCGGAGCCAAAAGGAATCTGATTTAAGTTCTAACACAAAATTATAAAATATTTTATTTATTTAATTTAACGTTGGCTATAAATCTTGTACATGCAGGGTGTCCCAATAAAAATGAGAATTGAGAGTCAACTTGAATGATCGTCTTAGATTTCCGATAATTGATAAATGACTTACATTTTATCAAAATAAGATTGAAAATCTAATAATAAGTCTTTGTGTCTTTCAAATTGACGAAGAAATTTAACGTTTAAAATGTTCTGTTGATTTTTAATAAACTGTATTCTAAAAAAATCCCAATATCAAAAAAAATTGTAGACCACATTTTGAAAATCTCGAGAGTGAAACTGGTTTTCGGTGTTAAATTTTTTTACTTTGATACTACAAAGTTGTGTAAATAAAATAATCCGCTTGGATCAAAGACGATATAGAAGTCGTCAATTATTTCCCATGTTTATTGGGACACCCTGTATATGTTAGAACCTAACAAGTATTATTAGAAATAGTAGAACATGTTGAGTTCTACTTATATCTACCCTTTACCCTTCCCCCCTTCTTATACTTGGTTCCACGTTATTGGGTTTCTTTACTCTAAAATGTCGAAGGTAAGTGGAATATAGAAAGCAGGGTATTTATCAAACTTATTGATGTAATATATTTACACAATTGTACATTGAAGCAGGAACGAAGGAAAAAGAAAAAGAACAAATATTTTGAAATTACAAAAATGAAGAAAAAAATTATAAACCATTCATTATAAATAACTTTGTTTATTTATTTATTTATTTATAAATAAAATGAGTGGGGAAACCCATCAGCACACCCAGAGATAATGAGAAGTAAGTCTCAACTTCTCAAGTAAGAGTGAGGATCTTTCCAGACTACACTGGGTAGTCCAGACTGGACAGTACAACATATAGAGTACATGGTGTACCGGCTCGGATCATACAATTATTGAAGTGGTCTGGAGGGGTCAATTAGGTTTGTACATTGGTAAATACAACCTGGGTCAGCCTCTATGGATAGACCATGCATAGCCCAGGCTCTTTAATTAAGATTCTTTTAACATGCATGGTTTTAATCATAGATTAATTAAAATTACAGATAGGACAGTAGATGTAGTCATTATAGATTTTTGTGAGGTTCACAATAACCCTGTGGTAGAAGCCCAAAGGAGTTACTCGTAGTCGGCGTAAAACGTTAGAAAACGTTTTCAACGGATTTCGAAAATTGTGAGTGGTGTGCGGCAAGCGACAAGAGAAACAAACAAATTAATGAAAACATATTATAAATATAAACTATATACAAATGTGGCGAAAGATAATCGATGACTATAGGTTGTAATATCTGAATGATTTGTTTGAAATTAAATTGATTTTTTACAGTCGAAGTCGTATGTTGGAATTTATTCAATTTGTATGGCCGCTAAGTTATTCGGTATGAGACGTCTGTAACAATTTTCTCCTTATAGACGCAACCGATAGAAGTAAGATAAGTAGCGATTAAACGCGCTTTTTTATCGCACTAAGCCTATACCCCCTTTCATTTTTCACGAACACTCCCTTCGCTTAATATTGGTAATACTGATTACGGATTAACAATACAAAAGTACCGAGCTTTAATAATAAGAATGTTTTGAATCATTTGTTGTGAATATACAGAAATTGTGTTGGGCGGAAAGATTGAATTAATATTCTCATCATGTTACTTTTCCATTTTAAATTCTGTGTTAACAACGTCTCTGAGTTTGCATCACCAACACACCTGGAAAATACAATGTAATGGTTCAACCAAAACAACAGCAAAATAATCCTTTAGTTGACAAAACATTCGGATTATTTTGGGATTAATTCACATGGATCCATTAATTGGAAGCTCACGGGCAGCCGCAGTACATTTGAATTTCCGAGCCGGGTCAACCTTTCCGGTCCCAGTTGTACTGTACCTAGCTCTATGGACAGGACTAGCCGGTGCAACAAGGTTGACGCGGTCAGACTTTATGCTTCATATTGGCTAAATTTACTTTTACTAAAGTGGCAGATTTGCGCGAGCTATCGCGCATGAATCGGTGAGAATGTTTCCCAATACTTCAAAGAAAATAAAGCTACATATCTAAACTGAACATGTATAGGGCTACAATAAAGTATAATTGAATAAGTACTTTACAGATCTAAACTGAACATTTCTAGGGCTACAATAAAGTATAATTGAATAAGTAAGGTATTCTAAAAGTAAAAGTATGAATAGTTTTTATAGCATTTTAGATCTCATGATAAAAACCCTCTGGGATGATTACTTCCAGTTTAAAATGTTCGATGCAGTTAGTCTTGAACTTGGTCTTGAAAAAGCTTATTTCTTGACATTGTTAACTGTACGTAAGGTATTTAAAAGTTTAGTAATTGCTTTTACTTAAAACTTTAGAACTTTTCAGAAAATATTTATTTTAAGTAAATCCGTCTCAGCCGTCCGACCTGCATAACAACAACAATGTAAAGAATTTTCAGATTCCTGTCTTTATAGATAAACTTTTTCAAATATAAAGATTGATTTTGAGAATCAATTTGAAAAGAAGTTTTTCATCAAAATAGATTAAAATTAATTTCAATGAAAGGAAAGAAAAGAAAAATAAATATTTATAATTTATTTAGATTTGATAGATTTCTGCCGACCCCATGTTAAAAAGGACATAAATACAGGGCTACCCATTATGAAAGCCAACTGCCACTCCTGTATGTCGAGTCCATTAGCGCCTGATCCAATCAGGGTTCATTCATGTGTTTGATGTATATTCTAAACCAATAGAAATAGTTTGGCGGTAACATATATCTTTCTATCTATCTCATTATCTAATCAGAGTTATTAATCCTTCAATGGCGCTATCAGTAAATGGAAATATTTACTTCTACTGAAACTATGGTGAGCTGCATTAACTATTTATTTACCTTCTTATTTATCTAGTTTTTTTTGCAATCACTCCCGCGTATAAAAACTATTTGTTGTATATTTTGAGAATAATGAAAAATTTGTAATCATCAATATATAATAATAATAATAACAAATAATAATTAATAATATAATTGATATAATTTTCAGATCGAATATGTCCCAAGCATAGCAAGATAAGATTCAAAATGTCAAACCATGACCGTACAACACACAGTGAGGTATCAGGGGAGCAATATTGAGTCAAAGAAGGCTCGGTCGCTAAAGTATTTTTTTAGAGAAGTCTCTAAGGCTTAGTAATGTTGTGTTGAAGTTTATAAATTTGGCGGAAAACTGAATTTACGTGATAACTCTTAAACTCTTTAAACACGAATCAGAGACCAAACTAATACTTTGGCGGGATGCCGGAGCCACCACATCTGTTAAAAATGGTTGTTAGAATCTATTCATATATCTAGATTGTCCTGAATCCGTTGTAATTCCTTGAAAAAAAGCTATTAAGTATATGTTTTTTTCACGAAATAGTTCTCTGGAACAAAGACATTATAAATACATTGTGGGTTTACAGGATCAATTCAAGGATAAATATATGAGCGGGAAAAGTAATTATAAATTGAAATCATTATGAATCAATACAAGATATAATTGATACAATGTTTGTAAATGAAAAAAATTATCAGAATTATTCATTTGTCCATTCTCACCATGAAACACAAGACAAATTCTCACCCCCTAAAATACCCCACCGTGCACCAAGAGTTTTAAATCCATGGTTACATCAACGTTAAAATTTCCCTTCTTTAGACGATAAATTAGATCTCTTTGGGAACATTGAAGCATAAAACAAAAAAAGCAATAAGCCGAGTTAAAAAAAAAAATATTTTACTGGATATTTGTGAAAACATATCAATGGTCTTGATTCATGTTTCTCTAGTCTTGCCAAAGCTCTTATTAACATTGAGCAAATATTCTATTACTTGTTTATTAACCAAACCAAATAATTTGTACATGAAAAACTGGTTTTAGTACTCCCCAGCCCACTCCACTCGTTGGTATCTTTCCTGAAATAAGAATGATGTGAACTTGTTAGATTCAAACTTTGGGACGAGTTCAACCGATTTAGAGGAAATAGCGATTTCAATCGACTGTTTATGTCTCCAAAAATTGAGAAAATCCACCAAAACTCAATCAACAAATTTGTACTCGACCAAAATTTTACGCACTCATATCACAACCTCACAAGTCAAACCTACCTACCTACTCATATCACAACCTCCTTTGCCGGAGTATAAATGATGGATGTTCTTTAGTTTTCAAAACTATTTTTCTTTAATGGTATATTTGAAGGTACGCTTGATCTAATCAAGACTAAGAATAATACAGGGCAGCATCTAATAGAAATTAATATATACAAACATTGCATGCAGCTAGCATTTTAACTTTTCCAATTATTAAATTTTAGAAAACAGAAACATTTATTTCAAGAGAGGGTTGAAGTTACAAACTTAAGTTTAATTCTAAACTTATTTCATTTCTAGAAAACCATCGAAAATTCCTTTTGGGTCGAGTTACTTTTGAAATAAATTAATTCTACTGAAAAATCTTTAGATCGAAGTTTGGTGCAAACCATAATAAGAATAATTCAGAATTCACTTAGTTCAATTTTCTATTTCCAAGGTTCGAACACAGGAAACTAGAGATGTGTGTACAATCTGTTTCATAAATAGCACTTTTAGACATAGACATTTTCTTTTTGTAGATTATTAATGCAATATAAACTTGTGGCTCCAAGTAAAAGTTAACAATTAAACATTGAGACAGATTGAAAATATATTTACTAAAAATTAAATTTAAAGTTTTTTAAAAAATGCAAAAAAAATCATTTCTGACACCCCTAGCCTTTGTACACCAATATAATTCACCAAAACTATACTGGAGTCCTTCAATTATCATACAGGGAAATTTTCATCTTTCTAAACATCCCAACGAAAGATTTGACAGGTTCTTTTGAGTATTTAAAGTATTTGAAGTATAAATATTTACCATCTGTCTGTCTGGTGAAACTCTTCTGATACTGTTCTCGGTTCTAAAATATTGAGCAAAAAAAAATACAACAAAATTTTAATCGTTTTTAAAATATTTTTCAGTAAAATATTTTTTATATTCATATTTATATTATATTTACTAAAGGTTCCAAAGTTTAACTTAATACTATGTTGTGAAAGAACGCCTCTAAACTCCAAATTTTCTTTTTAAACCAAACTCAATTTGGATGGAGGTTGATTAAATTAAAACTTAAGCCCAGACAGGACCAGAGACAAAGAATTTTAATAACTTAAATTTTTGGTTCATCTCAGCTTTTCTCCAGGAAAACAGAAATTAAATTCTTTTATTATATTATAGCCAAGAAGTGACGTTTCTGTATATTAGAGCTGAACTGTAGACGTTTTAATCAAGAATTCCCAATGTCCAATGGTTAATGAATAATGAATGATAAAAAATATATAAGCCAACTAACCTATAACTAAAGTATATAATATAAACTTTAAAGGATGTGCTGGGTAAATAAAGTCAGGACGCCAAGAATAATGCTTAGAAAATAAGGTAAATGATTTCACCTTAAGCTGTGACTGACAGATCTCATACAGACTAACTTGTCTTTCAATTGAGTCCATCAGCTTGATGTTAATATTACTTTCTAGAAAATGGAATAAATAAAAAAATATTAATTCTCAAAAATGTTTGAACTTATTTGATTAAATTATTAAATGATTAATCTACCTTTCATGTGCTGGAAGAGTTCTAGAAAGTCCTCACTGTAAATTTCAAAATAGATGGATTTTAGAAATGTGGATCAAAACAGGTTTATACAGTAATTTGTCCGAATGAAAAAAATAGCTGTTTTAAAAAGCCACCAAAATGTTTGATTATTTTTTTATTTTGGATTAAAAAGCCATTAAAATGATAAAGTTAGTTAATACGGAAAATGTCGCGACTAACTTAGAAATTGCTAAATAATGAATAGACGGTTTATTTCTAAATCTCTTATCAACATAATTAGATCAAATTCATGTTTCAATTACGGTTTTGATTTCCCCAAACAACCTCTGTAAAAAGGACTGAGATAATTTCAAGTTGTTCTCCATTTTAGGAGATGGTATTTATACTCTTTATACATCTATCTAAGTATCAATTAGAAAGAAATCACAATAAAGATATCAAGTTTTAGACAGAAAATTAATCATATCTCATCCATATATCTGATTAGATTAGGTTCTAAGGGTACCGCTGTAACTCGGACATGCAACTTTATAAAATGAAAGTTCTCTTAAAATTATGTCTGTACTCCCTATAAAGAGAGTGTTCTCAGAAATGGTAAAATTTATGCGATGTTACAACGTAAAGAAATTGATTCGAAATCAGCAACCAAGAACTTGAATATCCTCATAAACTAAGCATTGAGCTTAGCTAAGAGATCAGTTTCATGTCTCTACGATTATATTGCATGTTACATGAAATTGAACTAAAAATATAAGAAACATATGTAATATGTGACTAAAATTTGTTGCGTCTATAAGGAGAAAAGGGTTATAAAAGACTACAAATTCACAAAATTGCAATATTCCACTCAGAGTGTAAATAATTGAATTAAATTTAGAACTAATCATTCAGATATTATTCCCTATAAACGTCAAATATAATTCGATGCATTCATATATATAGTTGATATTTCATAATATTTTTAATCTTTTAATATAAGATATACGATTTTTTGGTCGCCAGATTTAACTCCCACGTGGAACCCCTATGTAATGTCGAGGGCAGAGACGCTTATCCGCCAAATAATTGTATTCTAAAGTAAATCGTGTACAAAAAATTAAAAATATTATGAAATATGAACAATAATATACCAATGCATCGAATTGAATTCGACATATATAGGTTGTAATATCTGAATAATTAATTTTGAGATCAATTGAATTATTTACGATCTGAGTGAAATAATGCAATTTTCGTGAATTTGTATGGGTTCTATACGTTCTTCGGTATGAGTCGTTTTTAACCCTTTTCTCCTTATAGACACAGCAGATGTAAGTAAGATTAGTAGCGATCACCATCAAATTCGATTCGACGTTAGCCTATACCCCCTTTCATTTTTCGTGAACACTCCCTTTAAACAAAAACCGTATTTTTGTGAAATTTGTCAAAAGCTAGAACAATTATAAATATTATTAATACCTGGTTACAGACGACCAGCAGGTTATATCCATGATACTCCTGAAAAATTGTAATCTAATATCGTATTAATTAATATGAAACCGCAAACCATATTGTTCATCTTATAACTGTCAAATAAAGTACGTATTTATCTGAGTTAGGGGGAAACAATATTATAGTTACAGTATTTATTTTCAAACACAAAATATAAAATAATAATGTATGATGGTTCAGCTTAAAATAAAACACGAAAGAAAATGTATTATGAGTCAATTGAAAATATAATGTTTAATAATTTTGTTCTGATTAATAATTGTTAAAACAAACTATTCATATTGAAATCTCAACTGAATATACATTTATTGTGCATTGACAAGATAGATACTTAGTCAGCATTCAAATAATCTAAACATTTTCAGGAATGCATTCGTTGAACTTATAGATACATATTGATTCAGAAAAAGACAATTTATTCTTGTTGACTGTAGTAGACTTTGACATCTATCATTAGCAAAGGGTGTGAACCCATACTCGTTGACTGTAGTAGACTTTGACATCCATCATAAGGGTGTATTAAACAATTTTTAGAGATTTTTTAGGACAACTCCAACCCGTTTTAGGTAAACATCAGTAGAGATTAGAGGCGGAAAGATAGGAAGGAGTTGACCGATTTTCCCACTAAAAAGGATGGAAAAGGTTGCGCCGAGTATCATTACAACCTCTGCACTCTGTAGGCTATTCACGCGTATAACAGACAATAAGAATAAACACAAAAATATTGCAACCTTACATTTTTTTATAAACTTTTTTCGATAATTTTTAAAATATATGTTTTTAATGTTTAACCTGATGTTTTCACAATGAAGCAGAATATTACTCACAGTTTTCAGAGTCAACAAATCAGATTTTCTAATCTCCAATTCCTTAAAGCAAGAAAAGTTTAGAGATACATTATAAATTTATTTTTTTCTTCGTATGTAAATGTAAAATAAAAAAAATTACCTCAAGAAATTGGAATTTATTCTTCTGTAAAATTGAATCAAATATCTCGTCTGAAAAAGCACAGTTCATCCCGATCTGTATCTTCCTAAACAATAAAATTTAAAGAGACAAATATTTTTTAAGTGACTTTTCCATCCTAATTCATTCATTGGCATGTTCAATTAACAACGTCTAAACAAAAATTATGAATATATTGACATTGTTGATTTTTTAATATGAAAATTGATAATAATCAATTGCGGGTTTTATGTAAAAGTCCCTTATGTACTTATGCAGCAGAAACCAAGAAGGAAACTGTCAAAGTTTAACAATATTTCAGTAAAATGAGGATTTCTCCCTTAATGTTGCTTAGATAAATAATTAGATGGAACAGCTGGAGGTAAATCGGACTGTTCACTTCTTAAATAGAGGGTCACTTAGACTCATTTCAACAGCCCCTATATTATTTAAATCAAACAAACTAATTTGTTTGATACAATTATTGTCATTATTTAGGATGGCAAAAATCTAAAGACGATTTTCTAGTCGTCTTCTAATTCCCATCTGAAGTGAAACTGTAAAAAAACTGTTTTTACCTGACATTAACTGCCTGTCCTAGAATCAGAATGAGCAAACTTGTTGGACAACTGCATGATATTGAAACAAACTAAAAATGGAAATTACATTGTTAAAAGGTTTTCTAACACCAGGGAGGGGCATTGATCAGAGCAAGGAACTATATACAGGAACGCCCAACTCAGATATACGCATATTATGTACTGTACACTAAGGGAGGAATTTAAACAAACCCAGTGTCCCCAGTGCCCACACAGAAGTTGAAGGGAAAGGACTGCAGCTCTGATGTGATATTACAGTTCAACAAAAAACAAGTTAATATATCAAGTTAGAGCGAATACATATGATTTTTGGCTTTCTGGTCAATATGGAAAATACAATAGCAATATATTTTTATTCCACCCCTTGGGCCCTTTTCCCTCAAAAATGATGCGTTGCCCCTGAATTCTTTGTTTTGATCTCCTCCCACTGCAGTACACAGATTTGACGCATGAGATATGGCGTTTCCTGCATGGTCTATATATATTTCTTGGATCAAAGGTTCGTTTTTAAACATTCGAGGTTTTTACACTTTTATATGTTTTTCTTTTTAAAAGTGTAATTCTCAATCATTTTACTTTCATATTTTTTTCTCAAAATTATTGAATTGTATTGCTCAATCACTTTACTTTTATATGCTTTTCTTATAATTTTAAATTGTATTGCTCAATCTGTTTTCCTATAATTTTTAAATTGTATTGCTCAATCATTTTGCTTTATAACATAATGCAATATGTTTTCTCAGACGAAAGATATCTACTTAACCGATTTTGGTTAATATCTTTGGTCAGAGAAAATCGGATACTTTTGATTAACAAACCTTGAATATTAAAGAGGGGCCTCAAACGATGCCCATCTGTACATAAGAACTCATTAAATGTCGTCGTACTTTACAATTTTTATAATTACGATTTTTGTAAAAATAAATTGAATATCTTACTTTAAGCTCCAGGAATGGTATCAACATCTCCTCAATGTCGATATTTCTCCTAAGATTAAAAGTTATTTTTTTCTGAATATATTTATTGTAAGTTATTGTGTTTATTACAGCTTGACTCAACAATTAAATTGTTTTACAGTGGTAGGCAATTTTATCAATACAAAGAAGATCACTTTCCATTTCAATTTTGATTTATATCAAGCTGTCAAACAGCATGGATACACATAAACATAGGAATCAAGAGAAGCTGTCTCTTAGAATAGTTTCTCTTTAATTACTTGTAAATTTGTAATTCGATAAAAGCTTTTTAACAATCAAAACTTAAATAAAAAGGTCGTCTTAATTGTATTGCTATCATCGCCTACCACTGTAGTAAAACTGTCAACAGTAATTGCTTAGGCCAGGTTCTCCTATCTTGCTAAGGAAAACCCAATCCCAGCCTTGTTTTCAATATTTTTTATTATAAAACTTTAGTTCATGGTTTTTCCTAACTATGTCTTAGTAAAATGTAAAGAAAGTAGAAACCCTTTCCTCCTATCCTTAGTTCTACTTCTATTGAGGTATAAGACATGTTTGATTAATATCTTAGCTTAGTTTGAACAATATTATGTATTTCTCTAGTGTTTGACCAACCAGGCCCCTTGAAGGAAAATATACTGGTGCAAGTATTTATATTTATTACGGGAAATGTTTGTTTACGAAATAAACACAAACAAGATGGCTGCCAAGTTAATCCAATCCAAACCAAACCAAACAAGATAAAGAGACAATTGTTTTTTCTCTGTTTAAATTACAGGCTTTTCAAAGTCATGATTATCATTAAATCAAATAGAGTGTTCACGAATACCAAAAGATATCACCAAATCACATGGCACTAATCCTCCCAACTGTTTCCTTAACAATGAATCAATTCAAAACTCGACTCGTTAAATCTAATAAAATCAAGATATCAGGACTTGAATAATAAGTTTGCATGCCAAACATAGATTGATTAAACTTGAGCCTAAAACAATTCGATAAATGTTGAAATTATTCTCTATAGTTTGCAAAATCGAAAGTTAGCTTAAAAATGTGCCACATAATCCAGACTTTATTACTACAGTCAGGAATCTCAGAGAGAAAACAACATGCTGAATGAACTACTGTCATATGCATTCCTGAACTTTTGAACCCTTGATCATGTTTCCTAAGAAGTGTTACCAGGTGAGAGTAAATATTATTTAGATGAAAAAAAGTTAGCATAAGAATTGAAAATATTATCATTTTTTTACGTTTTCGTTTTCGCGTTTTAAACTTAAAATATAGCAAATACTCAAAGAAATGTTTCAGAATTTCAATTTCATAAAGTCGAATCAAATTTTGTGTAACCATAAAACCATTCCAAAACTATATGCACTCTATAAAAGGCCTGGGTAAAAATTCACCCTCCTTTGAAAGCTTTAGTTCTAATTATATTTATCAATTAGAACTCAATATTATTAATAAATAAAGGAAAGAGAGCTGAAATCCTTATTTTCTTTTGACGTGTAATTTTTTACTTGTCAGATCTACTCTCACTGAAAATTAATTTTCTTTTTACTACAATAATCAATAACTTGTTTCATCAAGGTTTATTTTTATCTGAAAAATCTTAAAATTATTAAAACAAAGACGATTTTACAGGAAAAAAGTTGTATCGAGGTCGAAACTCTTGTTTTGAGTATCATTATTCTTAAATGCTTGATCTCGATAAACAATGTGGACACTTTTAGGTGTGATCCCTCAATTAAACTTATCCTTGCAGAGAACGACCACTATAGGATAAACAAGAGGGATTAAAGTAATCCGACGATCTGCATAAGAGGAGAGATCAATGCTTGATCCAGAGATTTGAAAAAAAAACGTTCAGACTTTTGATCGCTTCAATCTTAAACAATTTAAAAAGTATAAGCAATTGATCATGCAAGCTCGAATTTATTAATTGATTATACCCTAGCAAAGATTTTTTAGAAATAATCCATTTTAATTTTTATATTGTTGTTTTACTCTGAAGAACAAAAGCTTTTTTTATACTGCAGGTTTGGCATCGATTTTTCTACATGTTATGGTTGACGACCTCTTTTATACTGTTATACACAAATGAAAATAATGCAAAACTAGAGTAAAGTGCAACCCAGAAAAGCTTCTATATAAGTTCTAAATATTTTTGTTCAAAATAAAAATTCTGTTTGGTTTGGCAACTTTTTTTTGCAGAATCTTTCCTACTTTCTGAAAGGTTTTACATCGGTATGTTTAAGGATATCTACTCGATATAAAGCAATATTTATTAATACTTATTTTGACTCAAACTCTTAACTAAATGAATATAGAAAAAATATGCATAAATTTAAAAAGTTAAGCCCCTCTTTCCTCTCTGTTTATGCCCCTGATCCGAATAAACCCAATATAAAGGCTAACATTTTATATTTGTGATATTCTCAAACCCGTATAAAATGATATAAGGCCGCCGGGGTTATGCATTTTCTGGAATCATCTTTTAACAATTTAAAAAGTGAACAAAAATCACCAGGTAAAGAACGAAATAAGCTAAAGGAAATTATTTAAATATGGTTGTCGGATAAATATATTTTTTTGGCAACTTGATCTATGTATTCATTTCCAAAAGAACTTCTTTCAAAAATAGATTTTTTAAATTCGAAATTTATTTTTTCTTTAAGTGTTTACGGGTAACGCCGGTCACTTCTGCTAGTTTCAATATAAATTAGTAATATTCATGTATTTCTATGCATAACTCTTGAACCCCTGGACTGATTTTCTGTATTTATTTTTTAAACTTTGAGTATGATAATTGTTAAAAAATATACGTTTTATAATTTGATTTTATATTTCAGAGTTAGAGTTTAATTTTGATTCTAGAAAAAGATTCCTGAAAGATTTCTCATTTCCTAAGGTAGATTCATGGAATAATTTATCTCCAAGCAACCATGATTACTGTCAATTATTCCGATTTTCTAATCATTACATCTTTGTAATCTGAGCACTCAGGCCTTGGATATTTCAAACTATGTGTTCTTCTAGATCAAATAGATTTACACCATTAAGTTACACAGATATTGGGACGAGTAAATTGGTTGAGTGGAGGAGTAGATTTTTGTTTTATTTTGGTGACTCACCAATAAACCCACACCCACTGAATCCTAGATGTTGCAAGGAGGTGCAGTAGAAGGATATCAAGGCAATTGCTTGAGAATCCAGGCTTTCAAAATGATGCAAGTCAAGTCTGAAATCATAAGTTTTGTTTGTGTGAGCTCTGTGTTATGATTATGGATAGATGGAAGGATTGTAGATGGATGGTAGGATGGAAGGAAGGATGGTAGATGGATGGTAGGATGGAAGGAAGGATTGTATATGGATGGTAGTAATGGAGGAAGAAAAAAAGGAAGTATGAATGAAGAATGGTTTCTCAGTGTGTGACTGGATCAAGAGGGGTGTATGTGAGTGTGTACAGGAAAGTGTGTGTATGTAAACACCAATTTTCATAAATACTGTAATGGTATTCTGTCAAACCCAGAAATTAATATTCCTCAAGAAAATCCTAAAAGATCTAAGCTAAAAATTACGAAGGAAGAAATGAGGAAGAATAGGATATAAACATAAAGCCAAACATCGACAAATTCCTGTACGAAGTTAATTTTGTTAAGATGTGCCGGAAACAACTCTTTTCGATTTTAAGACATGATTAAAGAAGCTAAATTTGCAGTAAAGAACATTTTTAACAACTTAGACTATACTAAATTACTATTAAATGGATAATATTTTAAATCTTTTCATATCCCAGAAATTTCAAATTATACTTAGTAAGGTTGGATCCAATTTGCTGGAGCACGTTTTCCATATCATCAGAATAGAAATCTCCGCCCCATAATTCCAAATCCTAGATTATTTATCAGAATATATTATCTTCATTGAACATTTCCTTCCTTCATTGGATATTCATTTCACTGGAGGCCTCTTTTACAGACCGGAGACTTTTTCATTTCATTGGAGGCCTCTTTTATAGACCGGAGACTTTGTCATTTCATAGGAGGACTCTTTTATAGACCGGAGACTTTGTCATTTCACTGGAGGCCTCTTTTATAGACCGGAGACTTTGTTATTTCATTGGAGGCCTCTTTTATAGACTGGAGATTTTTTCATTTCACTGAAGGCCTCTTTTATTGACCGGAGACTTTGTCATTATTTCATTGGAGGCCTCTTTTATAGACTGGAGATTTTTTCATTTCACTGAAGGCCTCTTTTATTGACCGGAGACTTTGTCATTTCATTGGAGGCCTCTTTTATAGACCTGAGACTTTGTCCTTCCATCAGAGGCTTCTTTTATAGACTGGAGACTTTGTCATTTCACTGGAGGCCTCTTTTATAGACTGGAGACTTTGTCATTTTACTGGAGGCCTTTTTTATAGACCGGAGACTTTTTCAATTCATTGGAGGCCTCTTTCATACATTGTATACCTCTTTCTTTATATTGTCTATACTTCTTTTCTTACAATGTATGTGGTTTCGAGGCCTTTTTCATACATAAGAGAACTCTTTTGGGGGCCTCTTTCTTCTGATGCAGACCTCTTTTGTTCATCTCAGGCATCTTTTTATACATTGGTGAACTTTTTTTGTTCTTTTGAGGCCTCTTTCATAAATTAGATACCTCATTTTTCACTTTTTAAGGCCTCTTTCTTACATTGGATATTTCTTACTTACATAAAAGACCTATGTGGGTTAAAGGCCTTTTTCATACATTGTATTACTTTTTTGGGGGTCTCTTTCTTTCATTGGATGCTTCTTACATTGGTGAACTCTTTTGTTCACTTGAGACCTTTTTCTTACATTGAATAACTCTTTCTTGCAATAAAAACCTCTTGCTCATATTAGACACATCTTTCTCGGATTTTACGTCTATTTCTGTTTCCTACATTAAAGTTAAAGACCTCATTGGATTCCTCTTTATTTCATCAGGGACCTCTTCTTTTTTAATCACATCAGGGACCTCTCTTTTTTTAATTACATTAGGAACCTCTTTTTTTTTAATCACATTAGGAACCTCTTCTTTTTTTTAATCACATCAGGGACCTCTTCTTTTTTTAATCACATTAGGAACCTCTCTTTTTTTAATTACATTAGGAACCTCTTCTTTTTTTTAATCACATTAGGGGCCTCTTCTTTTTTTAAATCACATTAGGAACCTCTCCTTTTATAATCAAATTAGGGGCCTCTTCTTTTTTTAATCACATTAGGGAAATCTTCTTTTTTTAATCACATTAGGGAAATCTTCTTTTTTTTAATCAAATTAGGAACCTCTTCTTTTTTAATCACATAAGGGACCTATTTTTTATCACATTAGGGACCTCTTCTTTTTTAATCACATAAGGAACCTATTTTTTATCACATTAGGGACCTCTTCTTTTTTTATCACATAAGGAACATCTTCTTTTTTTTTAATCACATTAGGGACCTCTTTTTTTTAATCACATAAGGGACCTTTTCTTTTTTTTAATCTTCATCAAATTTAGAGGGACTAAAAGTTGGATTCCTAGAAACAAGAAATGATTTCTGTAATTTCTGATAAAACAAAATTGTTTGCTGACAACACTAAACTGTGGTCTCTTATTATTAAAAAAGGATCTTTGAGTGTGCTCTCAGACAACACTAAAATGTTTTCTACGATTTAAAAAAGGGATATTGTGGACTCCGGTGAGTCAAGGACGGTCTCTGCTTTCTGACAAAATTCCTCGACCCAAGGATGATAATTCCTTTCCAAATCCGAGATTATGTTTCAACTGATCCTCAATATTCATATTCAAGATTAAAACTAATCTAATTCAACCCAAACTCACAGTAATATATTTTTATCAAGAATGAGGGAAGAGACTAGTTTCAATTAAAAGTTAAGTAAGTAACTTGGTTTTAATCTGACCTAAATATCTTTTTTTTAAAAGTGATTCAAATTAAGATTTAATGGGAGAGATCAAAATATTTTCAACCTTTTTCATGAGATTGATTTTTATATTTAGGTTTTGGACCGGATGGCATACTTAAATCCACCCTGATGCACCCTGATCCACCCTGATCCACCCTGATCCACCCTGATCCACCCTGATCCACCCTGATCCACCATGATCCACTCTGATACATCCTGATGCACCCTGATGCACCCTGATCCACTCTAATGCACACTGATGCACACTGATGCACACTGATCCACTCTGATGCACCCTGATGCACCCTGATGCACACCGATCCACCCTGATTCACCCTGATGCACCCTGATCCACTCTGATGCACCCTGATGCACCCTGATGCACATTGATCCACCCTGATCCACCCTGATGCACCCTGATCCACCCTGATACCCAAATCCACCCTGATCCACCCTGATGCACCCTGATCCACCCTGATCCACCCTGATGCACCCTGATCAACCCTGATCCACCCTGATCCACCCTGATGAACCCTGATGCACCCTGATCCATCCTGATACACCCTGATGCACCCTAATCCACCCCGATGCACCCTGATCCACCCTGATACACCCTGATCCACCCCGATGCACCCTGATCAACCCTGATCCACCCTGATCCACCCTAATCCACCCTGATGCACCCTGATCCACCCTGATCCACCATGATCCACCCTAATGCACCATGATCCACCATGATCCACCATGGTGGATCCACCATGATCCAACCTATATAATTAATTGTTAAAATTGTTACCGTTAAACAGTTGAAGCTTCCAAGGACAGAAAGAGGACAAGTATATCTAGACAAAATATTGATTTTGAAATATTGTTTTGAAAACAAGCAGAAAACAAACAAACTTACTATTCCTTATATATTTGTAACCTGATGGAGTGAATATTTATTATCTTAAACTTTAACTATTAAATATTAGGTCCAGCAGAGTTCATAGTTTTTAATATCAAAGGTACACATCAAATGCAGACCCGGGTCCATTTCAGCTCAAAAATATTTATCCAAGTTTGTAACAATTCTTCAGGGAATTTTAAATTTTAATAAAACTTCTCGTTTTTATTACACTTTTGTTGACATTTGTCATGCACTTGAAGCCAAAATATTGCGGATTCGGATCCAGGGAGTCGAAATATTGTGGATCTAAATTAAGGGAGTCGAAATGGATTAATAATTTTCCGGATCCCCTAATTACTATTTACGCTTCCTATATACCTACCTATCCTGGAACATGAAGAGCATATCCTGGATATAAGGACACATTTCGAGAACCAACTGTATTTGATCTAAACTATGAAAATAATAAACCTCGGAGGACCAGAAGTTTCTAAATCATTTTTTTCATTCAATCAATTCTGATCGAGCATGTCTTAAGCTAAAGCTATGTAGCAAGTGGTATAACAACTGAACTGATATAGTATGGTTTATTTATTTTTGGCAAAAGTATTCGTGTAATCATGGAAAATGTGGCAAATCACCATTTACATTTACAATCACAGTACGGGATAAAGTTACTTTTCATTTACCAAAATATACAACACTAGAAATGTGTAAATTTTGGTCTATGACCACATAAAATTAGGGCGGATCATTTAAAAGAAAGTAGAGTTAAGATTAGAAATGAAAGTTTGAAACCAAAGAATGTATAAAAAGTAGAGCAATGAATTTATTCAATTTTTAAAATGAGTGGGGTCGAGAGCGGATTGATGATTTGACGATTACATAATTTAAAAAAATGAAAATTAAATATGCATTCATAACCTTTGCCGATTATTTAGATGAACGTAATGCTTTTGAATGCAGAATGCAGATACATTTTACCATAGCATAGCTTAAAGTACAGAATATTGGAGAAATTTATTTTTATCTTTTCCCAATTATAAGAATATTAAGAATACGTAAATTTGATGCACTTAATTTTAAAGGGAACGTTCTAGCGTTTTTTTCCAGTATACGTAGGCTTTTTGGTTTTTTTTACATTATAACTAGGCTTTTTGGTTTTTTTTACAGTATACCTAGGCTTTTTGGTTTTTGTACAGTATACCTAGGCTTTTTGTTTTTTTTCCAGTATAACTAGGCTTTTAGGGTTTTTTACAGTAGAACTAGGCTTTTTGGGGTTTTTTACAGTAGAACTAGGCTTTTTGGTTTTTTTACAGTATAACTAGGCTTTTTGGTTTTTTTTCCAGTATAACTAGGCTTTTTGGTTTTTTTTCCAGTATAACTAGGCTTTTTGGTTTTTTTCCAGTATAACTAGAGTTTTTGGTTTTTTTACATTATAACTAGGCTTTTTGGGTTTTTTTACAGTAGAACTAACCTTTTTGGTTTTTTTACAGTTTAACTAGGCTTTTTGGGTTTTTTCCAGTATGTCTAGGCTTTTTGGGTTTTTTACAGTAGAACTAGGGTTTTTGGGTTTTTTCCAGTATACCTAAGCTTTTTGGGTTTTTTACAGTAGAACTAGGCTTTCTGGTTTTATACAGTATGAACTAGGCTTTCTGGGCCTTTTTTACAGTAGGCCTAGGCTTTTAGGGTCTTTTTCCAGTATAGCTAGGCTTTTTGGTTTTTTTACTGTAGAACTAGGCTTTCTGGGGTTTTTTTACAGTATATCTAGACTTTTTGGGGGATTTCATTCCATAGAATTAGGCATTTTGGGTTTTTTTTACAGGAGAACCAAGCTTCTTGGTTTGTTTACAGTAGAACTAGACTTTTGGGGGCCTTTTTTACAGTAGGAATAAGCTTTTTGGTGCTATTTTACAGTATAACTAGGCTTTTTGGGGCTTTTAAACAGTAGAACTAGGCATTTTGGGTTTTTTTATAGTAGAACTTGGCTTTTTGGGGCTTTTATACAGTAGAACTAGGCTTTTTGGGGCTTTTTTACAATAGAACTAGGCTTTTAGGGGCTTTTATTCAGTAGAACTAGGCTTTTTGGGGCTTTTTTACAGTAGAACTAAGCTTTTAGGGGCTTTTATTCAGTAGAACTAGGCTTTTTGGGTTTTTTTATAGTAGAACTAGGCTTTTAGGGGCTTTTATTCAGTAGAACTAGGCTTTTTGGGGCATTTATATAGTAGAACTAGGCTTTTCGGGGCTTTTATATAGTAGAACCGGGATATTCACGGTTAATTTTAATAACAATTTAGTTCTTAACAGTTGTTTTTTTACTGTTGTCTCCGGTCATTTCTTTATTAACTTTCACAAATAAAGTTTTTGTGGATTTAAAAAAATAATTTGAATCGTAATTTGCTCAAATTTTTCCCTTTAGTCATTTAAGTTGCCTGGCGTCTGCCAAGAAATAAAAAATGGAATTTTGAAAAAAAATGATTTTTAAAAAAAATTCCAGTTTTTTGAAGATACCCATATGTGTTCACTCAAAAAATGTCAGTCCTTTCGGTTCAGCCGTTTAGCCAGTTATAGCTAACATATAAATATGTATACAAATATATGTACTTAAGCGAAGAGCTTTATTATAAAAATAAAACAAGACAGACAAACAGACAAACAGAGAACCCAAATATACACACATACAGATGCAGGTACCAATTGAATAACATTTCATTCATCTTGCAATATCATTATCATGAGTATCGTTTTAAAAATGTCCCAAAAATGTAATTTTTTGTTCGCGGTTAATATAAATAATAGACCAACATTTATTAAATTGCCAAATCCCTTTTATTTTTTCGTGTAGGAGGAGTTGGTGGTATAATTAGGTAAATATTTGGGAAAACTATTAATTAAACTAATTTTTCTATATTCTCTATGCACTGTATATTCTGCGTACTTGAGGGGGTGAAGTTTACACATTTTCTTCTAATCATTTAAAGGAATTGAGATTTTGCCGCAAACTCTGATCTTCTAATCCAAATATCTTAGCAACTCAATTATGTAGACCATAGATATTTCAAACTATGAATTCTGTTAGATAAAATAATCTAAGTTTGAAATTACTAAGTCTACACCCACAGGTTTCAAAGATATAGGGATTAGAAAATTTGAGTTTGTCCGCGGAATTGGATTGATAATTGTTCCGGAAGAAAAGATGATTTGGCACAATTCAAGTAACTGTAATATTTAAAGCATGTACACGAGATGATTTGGCACAATTCAAGTAACTGTAATATTTAAAGCATGTACACGAGATGATTTGGCACAATTCAAGTAACTGTAATATTTAAAGCATGTACACGAGATGATGTGTCACAATTCAAGTAACTGTAATATTTAAAGCATGTACACGAGATGATGTGTCACAATTCAAGTAACTGTAATATTTAAAGCATGTACACGAGATGATGTGTCACAATTCAAGTAACTGTAATATTTAAAGCATGTACACGAGATGATGTGTCACAATTCAAGTAACTGTAATATTTAAAGCATGTACACGAGATGATGTGTCACAATTCAAGTAACTGTAATATTTAAAGCATGTACACGTACACAAAAGTAAATAAAAAACAAACATTTTAAACCACGAGAAAATGCTTTTCTTTGAAATGAAGTAAATCCTTCATTTAAAATTTACATGTCCTATTCACAACGGTACCCTGTAGATTACAACATAAATCTGAGCAAAAATGGGGAAGTTTTCGCAATTCAACTTTTTAATTTTCATAAAGGTAAATAAGGATATCTCCACCAATTTTGCACAGACGAAAGGTTTAAATGTACCCTTACGAATTAGCATGTAACTCTTTAGATTGAAGGAAACTTCAAATTTCATCGACAGTCCTTTTAATCTGTCCAACTGTACAGTCCCTTTAATCTGTCCAACTGTGCAGTCCCATTAATCTGTCCAACTGTACAGTCCCTTTTATCTGACCAACTGTACTTTACAGGATGTGGTCCCTTTAATCTGTCTAACTATATTGTACAGGATGTGTTCCCTCTAATCTGTCTAACTGTATTGTACAGGATGTGGTCCCTCTAATATAATCTGTCTAACTGTACTGTACAGGATGTGGCCCCTCTTGTATTGTACAGGATGTGGTCCCTCTAATCTGTCTAACTTTATTGTAGAGGATGTGGTCCCTCTAATCTGTCTAACTGTACTGTACAGGATGTGGACCCTCTTGTATTGTACAGGATGTGGTCCATCCAATCTGTCTAACTGTACTGTACAGGATGTGGCCCCTCTAATCTGTCTAACTATATTGTACAGGATGTGGTCCCTCTAATCTGTCTAACTGTACTGTACAGGATGTGGTCCTTCTTGTATTGTATTGGATGTGGCGAATGTTTCTAAAATATTTGAATGAGTGGAGTGTCCGGATCCTAAACCTAATTTGCAGAATATATTGTGAGATGAGAATCAATTGAATGAACATGAAATTCCTAATTTTGAATATTGGTTGAGGACGAGGTTTAAGCTCCCAGGCAATCCAATCCAGAGCCTCGCATAGGTAGTCTCCTCTGAAAATATTCGGGAATTATCTCACTTCACATTTTTAAATTTAAAAAATGTATCATACCCTCCTATTGGCTACGTTAGGTCAATTATAAAACTGTCAAATGAAAAGTATGTTCTCAGCCCCGAACATAACGCACTTTTTGGATTCATAAATAGAAAAGGCAAGTAAATCTTGAAATGAGGGTTGACTTAAAACCATATCAGTACTAAGCAGTCCATTTCATAATGGTTCGTCCTAAAGCCTCTTTTAATCTAAAAAAATGACCTTGGCAGTCTGACAATATTATGAAGGTTGATTAATATATGTGCTTGTCCCTCCTCAGATATCCCTGTTCTAGATATGCTCAGTTCTTCTAAACCAGAAAACTCTAAACAAAAAGAAAATTAATTTTTTTTTTAAATGTTTGAAAATTGTTTTTTAATATTTACCTAAAATACTGGGAACACTTAGATCTGTGATTTGTCTAAGCAGGATTAAAATCATCAACTTTTTTTGTAATTTTGTCCATATTGTGTCCCAGAAAATATAACAGTTAACTGAATTCAGAGAATGATATGTCGTCTTCCTAAAATATAAGTTGCGGCATTCACTCGTGCGCTTAATTCTTCAAGTATGATTCTTAAAACAATATATTCCTAGATATTCGAAATGTGTTTTTATTTATACAAAAATCTCATAACTGTTTAACTTTAAAACTCAAAAGAAATATATGAAAAGTCGTTTGTGCAGCAACTCTTATTTATTCCCACTTTGTAATGGGATGGCTAAAAAATATATCCGTCTCTCATTTGTCATGTTTAATGGAACACTCTTTTTAGTCTAGTTTCAGGTTGGTTTAGTTTAGTTATTTTAGTTTAGTATAGTTTAGTTTAGTTTAGATTAGTTCAGTTTAGTTATATTGGTTTGGTTTGGTTTGGAAATTTAGTTTAGTTCAGTTGTAATCTGTTTAGGTTTAGCTAGTTTAGATTAGGTCAACAAAATGAGAAAATCCGGCAAAGATTTCAAGTTGTTGGTTTATCCCTCCCTAGAGTTCTCAATGTCCAAAACCTAAAATTTAAATGTTAAACTATCAAATAAAAATATTTTATCCACAAAGCATGAGACTAAAAAACTTGCTTCTGTATTTTACCTTAATTTTAGTTACACTCAGGTATTATAAATTATTTGAAAAAGAAGCAAGTTTAAAGCTGTAGGGAATGTCTGTAAAATGTGAAGTCGTCTCTGAAGTCTCATCCTTTGCGGGAAACCAGCTGCATTTTCAATATAGATGTGTTGTTTAAGATACAGATGTGTTGTTTAAGACATATTCTATATATACAATATAAATATATATAGATGTCTTGTTTAAGACATATTCTTTTACCTTACCTTAAGTGTAGATTTGCAGGCTAACAGGGCAGATAACATTTCATCAGTAAAATTATATTTCAAGGAAAAAGACACTAAAAAAAATATTGCATTGAAAAAATGAAAATTATGAAACAAAAGCTTTTAAAAATTATAGAAGAAATGTCAAGATCTCTCCAATGCATTTCTGCTAAAACCAGTAAAGTGTAGCAAAGTTTCTTCTAGAAAGTCCCCCTGCAGTATCGAAAGTTTAAAGTTTTTTCAATTTCAAATTCAGAATAAGTTTAAATATTACCTAAACTCTGCATATTAACAATTCCTCTGCAAAAATTCTCTTTAGATTTGGCAATTCTTGGGCTTTTTTATTTTAAACCATAAGAAAGAAAACTTAGAATTTAAAAAGTTTTCAAAACTTGAAAACTTAGTAACTGTGAAAAGAACTGAGAGTTTCAAAAGAAAAGTGAATTATTCCTACAAATATACGGAGTAAGCGAGTTTCCAGCCTGTAGCCCTGAAACAAAATTATTGCAATATTAGTTGTTTAAAAATGTCTAAAGAGCTTTATTTGTCAGAACCGTTTACAGGGACTCTCAGCAATTTGTTTAAACTAACTGTTCAAACAAATTGCAAAGGTGCTGCCCCTACCCCCTGTAGATTTACATTTACAAAAAAGGAGACATAATCGTACAAAAGATAGATCATGAAAGAAACATAAAAAATTCTAGGATTTCTTCTATAATACTTGCCTTCGGCTGGCCTTTTAAATGTTCCCCTTATTTCCTGCCCCCACCCATCCCCCTTCTTCAAACCCATCCCTTTCTTCACACGTTTTTGCGCCTTCCTATCCATCCTTCTGGTCGTCCTTTTACTCTCTTTCTGCTTAAACCCTTCTCCGTTTATCCTTCCCTTTTCTTCTATTCTGTCGCCCTACTCCTACTTTTCTCCTACCCCTATCTATCCTCCTCCTTCCTCTTCTTTTCCCCGTCACTCTCATTTTCCCTTTTCATATTTCCTTTCCCCTCCTATCTATAAAACAGGCCCGGACGCCCAGCCTCCCTCTTTCGGTAGAAATTTTTTTTTAAAGTTAGTTAAGAAAGTATAAGAAAAAACAGGCAATAACCTTAAAAGCAAAGAAGGCGGCTATTCAGAGACATTTCTCTTTTTCATTGCATTTTAATTCATAATTCTTTTCATACATAGAAACATTAGACAGAAATAAACCAGCACCGTTAAATTCATAATGTTAAAGGGACTCTCCATGTAATTGTAAGAGACCCTCCAATTCATATTTTGTTTCAACTAAAAATTGACAATTTTCAATTGTGGTTTTCTACATAAGTAATTTGTAGATCTATGCAGCAGAGTCAAGAAATTAAATTGACAAAATTTATTTTTTTATGAGAATCTTACTCGTTGTTACTCAGACACAGGTTTAAATGGTACTATAGTGAATCGGGCAAGTAAATGGTACTATAGTGAATCGGGCAAGTAAATGGTACTATAGTGAATCGGGCTAGTAAATGGTAGTATAGTAAATCGGGCAAGTAAATGGTAGTATAGTGAATCGGGCAAGTAAATGGTAGTATAGTGAATCGGGCAAGTAAATGGTACTATAATGAATCGGGCAAGTAAATCTTGAAATGAGGGTTGACTTAAAACCATATCAGTACTAAGCAGTCCATTTCATAATGGTTCGTCCTAAAGCCTCTTTTAATCTAAAAAAATGACCTTGGCAGTCTGACAATATTATGAAGGTTGATTAATATATGTGCTTGTCCCTCCTCAGATATCCCTGTTCTAGATATGCTCAGTTCTTCTAAACCAGAAAACTCTAAACAAAAAGAAAATTAATTTTTTTTTTAAATGTTTGAAAATTGTTTTTTAATATTTACCTAAAATACTGGGAACACTTAGATCTGTGATTTGTCTAAGCAGGATTAAAATCATCAACTTTTTTTGTAATTTTGTCCATATTGTGTCCCAGAAAATATAACAGTTAACTGAATTCAGAGAATGATATGTCGTCTTCCTAAAATATAAGTTGCGGCATTCACTCGTGCGCTTAATTCTTCAAGTATGATTCTTAAAACAATATATTCCTAGATATTCGAAATGTGTTTTTATTTATACAAAAATCTCATAACTGTTTAACTTTAAAACTCANCGACAAAATACTCTAGTCGCGCCTTTGAATAATTTATAATATTTCCCTTAACTTACTGGAAAACTAGGCCGGCCTTTTGTCTAACGATTGACACAGAAATTTAATTTTTTCAAAGAGTTTTAACTCTTCTAGAACAATCTGGAAATTCTGAAAAGAAAAGGTTTTGGTGTTTCTGGAATTCAGGGATATTCAGGAATTTAATTCTTTTGTCTCCGTCCTTAGATTTCAGGTGAGTTCAAGACTAAACCTGACAGTAGGGTTTTATATTTTAACATTATTAAAGGAAACTCCGGGCATAATTTCAAAATAACTTAATTTAAAGGTTGGAATATCTTAGTTTCCTCATATAAAAGTCATTTTTCTAGAGATATCACATTAAAGCTAATCATTTTTTATCTAGAAAATCAGAATATTAGATTTATTTTTTGATCCAAGGTGTAAAGGGTAAAACGCCTCTAGTCCGTGTTGTACATAACTAAAGATAATTATAATTTTTTTCATCTTAAATCATTCTCATCTTATTTTTGTTTTTCCAGAATTTAAATGATTTATAATGATTTATAATTATATGTAAAAAAAATATTTTTTGTATTCCAATGTTAACAATCTTGTAACTTAGATATACGTAAAATAAATATCTAGATCTTAAAAAAAGAATTTTAATTTTGTTTTCCAGACCTGAAAGGAAAAGTATGCATTTGAAAACAAAATATCAGATAATATTACGGGAATCCTTGGTTGTAGAGAGAATATAAAAGATGACATATCTGTAATCTGAGGCCGAATTTAAAGAATTTGAGCCGCGGCTCAAATATGGTTGGTTCCACTTTAAATTATATTCTATTTTTCAAGATTTAAGCTGGCGCTCAAATGAAACCGGTTTTTGGGGGACTTGAGACGCCGCTTGAATTCATTAACTTCAGACACTGTTTGGATAAACACCGCAACTCCAGTTTTCTGAGCTCGATAATTTAAAGTCATGAATAAACCAGTCAGCTGATGCAGATTTGACGCGGACTGCCTTGCCCATGTATAGCCCGCACGGGATTTACTACATTGACTATTGGTTTATATTTTCCGATAATCAATCAATCTAGATGGATGAATATATGGTGCACATTATTGTCTGCATAAAAACTCTATACAGTGGGTCTAGTGGTTCTCTTCCGAGGAGAGGGCTTGTTTAGAACGTAGTTTCAGTAAACATGGAAATACAAATATTTTCCTATTTTAGCACATTGTATATTTTTAAATAAACGTTGTTGCTTTGAGCTACTCCAACCCGACTTGTTAGACGCCCAGTACGCGTCAACAATATATCCTTTGTAGTTTATCCATGTTTAAAGTAGCGACCTCTCTTGGCGGCTAAAGAAAGTTGTACAGTTGTACAGATCATAGATTGAAAACTGTACACACCAAATCAATTATCCCTTTCCTGGTGAGTGTTGTAACTCAACAAGGATAATCATCAAATCATCTGAACAGAACTAAAATCTACTATTTAGCTGTTTCTTTTACCCACCCCATACAAATAAATAATATTTACTTTATTCTTCTCAAAACTTCGTAAATGGTTAAGAGCAACCTCTATGAAAGGTTATATGAGTGTCTGCAAACTATCAAATTATGAAAAGATTAAATTATATCAAAAATGTCACAAATTAGAAACACCAAAATGAAAAACGTACCTTAAAATTGTTAAATAATTATTTTAACGAATTGCGCCAACAAGAAATATTTGCATTTAAATTTTGAATTAATTTCATTCATTAATTTCATCAAGTTTTCTAGATTGTGTTAATAAGTTAGAAGACGACATTGTTTTTAAATTTTCATTCTCAACAAAACTATAATAACAGTAAATTTATAAATCCTCTCTACTCTTAGTATATATATATCGGATCCAATTTAAAATCTTTTTCAATTTAAAATTTCAATCTCACAAAAGAAATAACAAATTTAAACCTAGATTTAGTGCAATGAAAATCTTGTGAGGACTAAGACAGAAAAGAGAGAAAAGAGGAAAAAGAGGAAAATACCGTGAATGGGAAAGGACCATGGGAAAAATGAAGAAGAACCAACAACAAGGATTTAAAAATAAACTAACCCAAGATTTTGAGTCCCTTGAAGCTTTCTAGGTTCCTGACAACACAAGATCTTAACATCTTAGGCATACTTTCAACCCTCAATACCTAAACAAATACAAGATTTTGAGTCCCTTGAAGCTTTCTAGGTTCCTGACAACACAAGATCTTAACATCTTAGGCATACTTTCAACCCTCAATACCTAAACAAATAAAAAGTTATTAACTTTAATATTTATCATTTAAATGTATTTTTGTATGAATGAAATATAACGGTAATTTTGTTTCTTAACATAGATCTGAAAACCAAGCAATCCAAAGCAGAATATTTTTTTAAGACTCCCCAAAAAGTTGCGAAAAACGTAATGCTATCTACGTTACATGAAATGGTTGACCTGTGATATTTCTAATTGTATGAGTTCTGCTCTATCAAACAGTCAAAATTTGATATATTAAAAGTTGCGCAATCAGGTTGCAAAGATATCAAAATTAGAAAATTAGATCTTGAAGTGAGTCATACATCTTTTGTTTTTAATTGATTAAAAACAATGAATTGATTTTTTACAAATTATCCGAGCAGATTATTTTCTCAATTCAAGATATTATTTTTTATGATATATATTTTTATCTATTTCTGTATGTGTTGGTGCACTAGGAGAAATCTTGAGAAAATTAGAAACTATTGAAAACTTAACCTAGCAATCAGCCAATAAAAGAAGTTAACTTCACAATCATCTACTGTTCAAAATAAATTACTTAAAGTTGAGCTAGAGGGGGAGATGCATTTACATCAAGGAGTATGAAACATCATGGAGAATGAGTTATTATTATGATTAGATTAATGTTTTGCTGATTTGTATTCCATTTGGAAAACTTTTAAAGGTTGTCTTTTTTTAAATGAAATTTTTATACTTTACTGAAACTCAGAGCAAGAAATGAAACCGACTTTTTGAATGCAAAAAAATATCTTTGTGTTGTCAATTTTTTTGCATTAAAAAATGTCTTTTTTGCGTTTTCCATCTTATTTGTCTTACTGTATATTATGTACACAATGACTCATTGTAAAACGTAGCGTTTGTACATGAAACATTTTAGGAAAGCACAAGTGTCAAAATTTATAAAAAAGAATCTATGAGTTGCAGCAAAATTGACATCACGAAGGTAATTCTTTTTAATTATGTCTTAAATAATGTATCTATATAAAGTAAAACCACACAAAAAAAAACAGATATTCTTTTCCCTGAATGTAGTTCCAGTCAGCAAAACATCTATTTAATCTTATGTTAAGGCGGAACGGGTCGACTTCAGCTCCATAGTATTCCAAACTCCTTGGTTTACACGCCTTAGTTTCATTTTACCATATCTTAATATTTTTTTCAACACAGCTATAGTTAGGGTGGGGGGGGGGGCGAAGTAAGGATCTAAAATTTTACATTTCCTGGAATATGATTCCAAGGAGAACAATTGTAGAAATGTACTCAACATTTATGAGAAATACCAGCGGAAGGAGCGTCTAGGGACGGTGTACGGAGTACGGACTATAGTTCCGGTTTACGGAATTATTCTATTTATAAAAGTTAAAATTAAACTTGTAAAATTGTGAATCAAGAAAGTCCTTTCATATTTTTTAACTAGGAATTCTCTGTTAGTTTCAGAAATAAAGAAGTTCCGCACATGTTTTTCAACAGAGATAAGAGAGTTACAGAGATCGATTAACACCTATAATATATGGGATATTTTCCACAGCATGTTCTATTGTGTACAAGTACTGTACACGACCAATCAGGAGACATCTGTATTCAGGGATATTTAATTTCCTTCGAATAGGAAATGCAAAATCTTAAAAAATAGACAATATTCATAAACGTTATGTTTTATGTTTAAAATTGAAGTATTTCTTTAAAAGTTGTAAAACTTAACCCTTGAATGCAACAAGTAGCGTGAGATGTTACAGTCAAAAAACTTTACATGGAACCCTAGCATGGTGTGCCGGCACTGCAGCTGTTTATCTAGCTCACTACTTTACTTTTACAAACTACTAATATTTCCCATAACAAAATAAATCAACAATCATCATATTCAATTGTCAACCTTTTGTCTTGAAGGATTTATAAAACCGTTTTTTCGACCTTTTTCGCTTCAAAATCCTTTCAATGTGAAAAACAAAAATATTCAAAATTATTCCATAAACATAAAGGACTAAATAAATTGATTTTTTCCTCCAAATTGGCTGGTTTAAATGTCAAATTATTGCAAATTCACCGAAATCACATTTGTTGACAAAATGAACTGAAGGAGTAATGGCGGAATTTTAGAATATGTAGTTTGATAGCCTCAAGAGTTTCAATACTTCAACTCAATCTACTAATTAAGAGACGACAACACCGATTAATCGAATATTTTCATCTTCTATGATTCCCTTTAAAACTGTCTGCTAGACCCGGCAAGGTTTTCTTTGCCTGGTTAGTTTGGATGGGACTATTCCAGGCAGATAGAATCTATGTGATAGGCCTACTCAGCCTATCCAGGTAGAGTGTATGAGCACTGAGCAGTCTGTGTAGTCTGTGCTTTTCATTGTTAAAACTTGTGGATCTAGCAGGCCAGGGGCGTATGCAGGAATTCGTTAAGAAGGGTTTAACTTTTTTCTTTCCGGTAAGGAGAAGTGCTCAACATTTGTTGGTGTTCAAAAACCCCTGGATTTTACATGTTCATTATCCCTTCGTTAGTGTTCCAATAAGGAAGATTAATTTGAGGCAAAGGTTGGAGGGGGGGGGGGGGTATAATTTTTTAGAATAAAGACGAAAAGACGAAATGACATTAACCTGGAGAAAAGGATTCTGGATAATATCAAACAGTTTAACCATTGCCCAGACTCGTAGAGTAAACACAGGCATATTCGTTCCTAGATCATGATAACAATGATAAAATAAAAACAACAACAACAATAATAACAAGATTTTGAGTCCCTTGAAGCTTTCTAGGTTCCTGACAACACAAGATCTTAACATCTTAGGCATACTTTCAACCCTCAATACCTAAACAAATACAAGATTTTGAGTCCCTTGAAGCTTTCTAGGTTCCTGACAACACAAGATNCATATACATATACCAGGGCACATAGCTTCACCAATAGCTGTACAGTGTACATGCATCCTGTGTAAATTCATTGTTCAAAGGTTTTTAAAGTTTGATAGATTTAATTTATGCATTAAAACATTATAATTGTCTTGACTTTTATAAATTAATTTTAAACTTTCTTATGATTTATAATTGTCTTTGAACTTTTTAGAAAAAGTTGATTTGAATTAAGGTTATAATGCAAGGAAAGTTAATTGCAGTTGCGTATACTCTGCGTACATATTGAAACCAGTTCTATCTTGGCGTAATTTATAAACAGTAATAGATGCATCAGTGTTCGTTTAGTATCCGTGGAGGATAAAAGCATTGAACTTTGAAAATTTTCATAATTCACATAATAGTTTCCTATGACCAGATTATTTTATTGATATTTTATGTGAAAGATGGATCCCATGTCAGGATGTGACATCCGTCTTGTGTTTATATTACCGCCCAGAGACAGTACACTGCAGTACAAAAGATGCGTACACCTCTGAAATAACTTTCCTTGCATTAAAACCTTGATTTGAATCACCTTTTATATAGCTCTATAAATTCTTGAACCATTTGTTGTCTCTCTTCTACAGATTCAAACACTGATAAATCCTAAAAAACGAGAACTTATAGCACAAGCATTGAAAACATAATACTCTCAAAAGAAGGTTCATTTTGTTCGTTTTAGCCGTCTAAAGTCTTTATGTTTACTGTCACGTTTTAGTCCTCTATAGTCTGTATGTGTACTGTCACGTTGTAGTCGTCTATAGTCTTTATGTTTACTGTCACGTTTTAGTCGTCAATAGTCTGTATGTGTACTGTCACGTTTTAGTCGTCAATAGTCTGTATGTGTACTGTCACGTTTTAGTCGTCTATAGTCTGTATATGTACTGTCGCGTTTTAGTCGTCAATAGTCTGTATATGTACTGTCACGTTTTAGTCGTTTTTAGTCTGTATGTGTACTGTCCCGTTTTAGACGTCAATAGTCTGTATGTGTACTGTCACGTTTTAGTCGTCTATTAGTCTTTATGTTTACTCTCACGTTTTAGTCGTCTATAGTCTGTATGTGTACTGTCACGTTTTAGTCATTTTTAGTCTGTATGTGTACTGTCCCGTTTTAATCATCTATAGTCTGTATGTGTACTGTCACGTTTTAGTCATCTATAGTCTTTATGTTTACTGTCACGTTTTAGACGTCAATAGTCTGTATGTGTACTGTCACGTTTTAGTCGTCTATTAGTCTTTATGTTTACTGTCCCGTTTTAGTCGTCTATAGTCTTTATGTTTACTGTCATGTTTTAGACGTCAATAGTCTGTATGTGTACTGTCACGTTTTAGTCGTCTATTAGTCTTTATGTTTACTCTCACGTTTTAGTCGTCTATAGTCTGTATATGCACTGTCACGTTTTAGTCATTTTTAGTCTGTATGTGTACTGTCACGTTTTAGTCGTCTATGGTCTGTCTGTGTACAGTGAGATGTCCATGGATGTAGTCTGTATGTTTACAGTAAGGTGTCCATGGATGTAGTCTGTATGTGTGCAGTAAGGTGTCCATGGATGTAGTCTGTATGTGTACAGTAAGGTGTCCATGGATGTAGTCTGTATGTGTGCAGTAAGGTGTCCATGGATGTAGTCTGTATGTGTACAGTAAGGTGTCCATGGATGTAGTCTGTATGTGTGCAGTGAGGTGTCCATGGATGTAGTCTGTATGTGTACAGTAAGGTGTACAGGGATGACGAGCTTTTGAAAATAGATGCACGTGGTAGCGTTTAGCTCAAAATATCTAAAACTCAAGCATATAGTTAGTAGAAAGCAGTTGAGGTGTCAACACCTTCTCTCTCTGAGAAAAAGCATGCAAAATGTTTGCAGAATATATTCAGGACTAGGGCCGCAACCCTTATATAACCTTTATACTGTCAATGGTGGATGTCAAAGTCTGCTACAGTCAACAAGAATGGGTTTACACCCTTTGCTAATGGTAGATGTCAAAGTCTGCTACAGTCAACAAGAATGGGTTTACACCCTTTGCTAATGGTGGATGTCAAAGTCTGCTACAGTCATCGAGTATGGGTTCACACCCTTTGCTAATGGTAGATGTCAAAGTCTGCTACAGTCAACAACAATGGGTTCACACCCTTTGCTAATGGTGGATGTCAAAGTCTACTACAGTCAACAAGAATGGGTTCACACCCTTTGCCAATGGTAGATGTCAAAGTCTGCTACAGTCAACAAGAATGGGTTCACACCCTTTACAAACGGTGGATGTCAAAGTCTGCTACAGTCAACAAGAATGGGTTTACACCCTTTGCTAATGGTAGATGTCAAAGTCTGCTACAGTCAACAATAATGGGTTCACACCCTTTGCCAATGGTGGATGTCAAAGTCTACTACAGTCAACGAGTGTGGGTTCACACCCTTTGCTAATGGTAGATGTCAAGTCTACTACAGTCAACGAGAATACATTTCTACTTTTGCTGAATCAATATGTATTTATAAGTTCAATGAATGCATTCCTGAAAATGTTTTGATTATTTAATTAAGTGCTGACTAATTATCTACTTGTAAAGGCACAATGAATATATATTCAGTTGAGATTTCAATATGTATACTTTGTTTCAACAAAAACGATCAAACAAAATTATCAAACATTATATTTTGAATTGGCTCATAATAAAGTTTCTTTTGTGTTTTATTTTAAGCTGAACCATCATACATTATTATTTTGTATTTTGTGTTTGAAAATAAATACTATAACTATAATCGCTGCTGTGAAAATGACTTAAATAGCTCCAAAATATTTTTGGACCTAATTTTCAAAATTTCAACGGATCCGAGTTCTCTCGTTGAAAATGAAGAAATTTATATGTAACATCATAATTTCATGAAATTTTTATTTTTACTTTCTTTATCACTTTTAAAATCCTTCGTGGCGATTATCTCCTAGAATTTAAGAGGTGTCGACCTAAAATGTTATGAATTATTTCACAGTATTTAATATGTATGTAGTGAAAACTGCAAATAATGCAATAGTGGAAGTGTGCATTCTCTTTTTCAACCTTGATACTTTTTTTGATGAATATGCCACGAACAGAATTTAACTTTAACTGTTTACTTATTTATGCTATTTTTAAATATCGTTAAGCTGGGACTAGTTTTTTCTACTTTAATAACTAAGGGACATGAAAATTAAGTTAATAACAGCCAGGGGGGGATATCCTGGAAAAATATTGAACGACTCATCCTTAAAAAATATAGGCGTAACTAAGCCGGGAGAGAGAGGGAAGGTTCTGACTACTTTAATTCAATCTTTAAAACAATTCAAAAAATGCAAACCGTCAGCAACTCATCGGGTAGAAGTAAATATTTCCATTTTCCGATTGAAGGATTCATATCTCTAATTGGCTAATTGGATAATGAGATAGATTGAAAGATAGATGTTACTGACATACTATTTCTATTTGACTGAACCCAGATTAGATCAGGCGCTAATGTTATCGGCATACAAGTGTGTGAGTCTTTGCCACAAACTCTGATTTTCTAATTATAATATCTTTAAAACCCAATGTCGTAGACCTTATTTCAAACTATGAGTTCGATCAAATTAAATAATCTAGGTTTGAAATATCAGGTTGCAAAAGATATAGGAATTAGACAATTTGAGTTTGTGGAAAAGACTCAATCCATTTGTGTTGAAACTTGAAATTAATTTTGGTTAATTCGGATTTGAGAACTTTGAAAATCTGAATAAAACAGAAGCGTTAAAATTCTTCTTGCTTTGAAATGTACAAATGGAAAAAGGGAAATTGTAAAAATAAAAAAGTAGATTTAAAAAGAGGAAAAAGTAGATGTAGAAAGAGGAAAAAGTAGATGTATAAAGAGGAAAAAGTAGATGTAGAAAGAGGAAAAAGTAGATTTAGAAAGAGGAAAAATTAGATGTAGAAGGAGGGACGCAAAGCGTTCTAAAAGCCTTGAATCATTTAAAGATCTATTCCCTGAAACTGAATATTTGAGAAGAAAAGACAGGGTTGGAGGAAATTGAATTTGTTTCTGCAAAGGGTAGAATAAATGCATAGATATATATATAGATGTATGGATATATATATATATATAGATATATATAGATGTATGGATATATATAGATATATAGATATATATACATTCAAATATTTTCAGTTTTAAGAATATTGCAAACATATCGAAAATAAATATTTTCGGAAAGACTTATAAATAATCCGGGTTTTGTTCAGGAAAATGAAGCTTTATAGGATCTGACAGTTTTTTTCGGTAGCTAAACTTATGATTGACATACATGGTATGACCAAAGAGAATAGAATTTGTATATATTCTATTCTCTTTGGGTGTAACTCAACAATGTTCATATGTATCCTGTTTTTTCACATTCATGTTCAACTCTAACTTTATATTGATGATTATACTTGTTTTCATGGTGATACGTATGTTCATGTAGTATTTATGTTTTATGTTAATATTTATATTCATGTTTATAATTATGTTCAATATCGTAATCAATTTAATGTTCATTTTCCTACATTAACACACCGTTATTTTAAGTAAAATTTAAAGGAATCGTATACAAATGTTGAAATAACCTTCCCTTTATCTTGTAAACAAAGTTCTCGTCTGCAAATCTATCAGTTCATCGTAAAGTACAATTTAATTAAGGGGTAACTTAAAACTACGTTGATCGTCCCTTTGACACAAACTGTTGACAATTATTCTACTTTTTATACTTTGGGTATCTCAATTTTTATTGAGGTTATTCAAACAAA